GAGCTGCCGCCTCTAGCTGAAGGTGCAGAGCCAGGGCCCCCCCACTGACACTCACCGCGCTGGACTGCCGGGACGAAACAGCCCTGGCCCTGGGCATTCCCTCTGTTTCCACTGAGTACTCGTGCTGCTGGAGAAATCCTGGGCGTGCACCGGGCCCCATCCGCTTCCCAGCTCACTGTACAGCTCACAGGTGAAAACCGTGGGAGGCAGGCACGCGGGGTGGCTGGCGGACCGCCTTTGTCGGAGTAGCCACCCCAGGAGCCCCAGGACCTGCCCTGTGCAGTTCCCACCCAGGTCCAGGGGCAGGGCTGGGCCCCATCCGGGCTCAGAAGGAGGTGTGGGGTGGAGGCTGAAAACCAGGACGCCTGAGTTCTCTCCCAGCTCTGCGGCAGAGCCGCCCCGGGCTTGGGCAGGGCAGGCCGTGCCTCTGAGACCCGGCTGTGGGCGGCGCAGGCCTGTGCGCGGCAGAACCAGCTTCACAAGGGCTGGGGTGGTGTCTGTATCCCACTGGCAGTTCATAGAAATCCAGAGTGGCTGGTTCCGAGAGATCTGCCCAGCGGTTAGCACAGGGGGCGGGGTGGTCCCTGGCCTGCAGGTGATGCTGGAGACTGGTCACAGCGGCGCCTTCTGGCCTGGGACTCTCTCTGGAAGAAAGACCCGCCAGGGGCTGAGGCTGGGGCCGGGTGCTGGGGCTGGTTCAGAGGCAGCCCGGAAACCTGGTGGCGGCACTGTGCCCCTGTAATTCCCTGCAGACTGCTCCAGGCCCGGGTCTGTCCCGGAGCACTGTCCTGCTCCCGCTGCTGCCCTTGAACATGCCTCAGTCCTTCAGTGCCTTGGTCAGCTATACGCTGGGGAGGCCTGCCCCCGCCGTGCCGGGAGACTTAGCCCGCCTCCAGCTGGGCCGCCCCCGGCGAGTGCTGCTGGCCCATCCGGCCCACGCTGCAGCAAGGCTCGACACCTTACTCTGTCCACTTCTACATCTTCTTGGGGCCCAACGTCTGGGGTGCCGCCCAACCGGCCCGCTGTCTTCGGCATTAGCCTGCTGCCGGTGCTGGACAACGGGGGTGCTGGCCTGGAGCTCGACTCAATGTGGTGAGAGACCCCCCCCCATGGGAGGCGGGGCACCATGGCTCAGGGCTGGGGCACTGGCAGGGCTGTGGGGAGCCTGGGGGCTGGGATCAGGGGTTTGAGGATTGGGGGGCATGGCAGAGCTGTGGGGGTTGGTGGGTGCCCAGGGCTGGGATGGGCAGGCTGCGGGTTGGGGGCACCAGCAGAGGCTGGGGTTGTGGGGAGCCCAGGGCTGGGATGGGGGGACAGCGGCTCCCGGGGTTGGGGGATGGCAGCAGCTGTAGGGGTCAGGCTTTAGGATCAGGAACTCAGTGGTGATCTCCTGCTCCACCCTGATCGTCCTGGCAAGAAGGAAGGCGTGATAGTCTGGACTGTCAGACACAGGTCCTTGTTGCCCCAAGTGTCTCCGCGTCCTTACCCTGTGCGAGAGGCATGAAGGTTTAGCTGCCTCATTTTGCTCCCAGTGAGTGGCGCCAGAGCGTGGGCCTGGCGAAGACTGCTCAGCGGCGGCAACAGGGGCGCTGCAGGTGAGGGCTGGAGCAGAGCGGGTCACTGGCTTAGGCCAGGCCGGCTAACCGGAGCAGCCCCATGAGGACGCAGATCCAGCTGCAGCCAGCGGCTCTGGGTTCAGTGAAAGCTGTTTTCCCAGCATGCACAGCAACACCCCGGCCCCGCATGCGGGGAGGAGCTGGAGCGGCTCTGGGTCCCATCACTGCAGCGCAGGCTGCCCCACCCTTGCGTGCAGGAGGGGCTGGGAAAAGGGGTTCCTGCCCGGCAGCTCAGTCCCCGGCATGCTACAGCAGGAGCCTGGGGATGGGAGACGGCCATGAAGGGAGTGGGGACTCTCCCCCCAGACAGCGGCTGCCCCCATGGCCCCATGGGGCTGCGGCGGCCCATGAAGCGGGGAGGTCCTGCAGCCGGCTGCTCGCCGCGCCTCCCATAGGGTCCTGGCTGGGTTCCTTTGCTCTTGTCAACAGCACGGCCAGCCTGGCTGCAGCTACGGATCCGTACCCCCAGGCAGACAGCTGGTACCTGAGCCTGCGCTGCAACCCTGTGCCAGGAGCCTTGCAGGTAAGGAGCGCCGTGCGGGACGCACCGGGGAGCAGCTGGTGCATACAGAGGGTCAGGGGTGGAGCTCAGGGGGTGTGAAGGCTGCGGCTAGGGGTGGGGTGGGACCTGCTGCCCCTTGGCTCTGGCGAGGGGATGGCCCATGTGGAGGGCATTTGGGGGCAGCCCTGGCAGGAGGGGGGCTGAGGGGCTCTGGGCCATTTTGTACCTGGCCAATGGAACCCAGTGGCAGCTCAGGGCTGGCTATGCCTGCATCCAGTGCACCTTCCCATGCCAGGCCGCCCCCCGTGGGGGCCCTGCCCCTCTCCCTCTGCCAGGGCAGGCCTGGGCTCGGGCGCGGTGCTGAGCCTGCAGGTCTGACAGGGCTGGAGTCCGTGGTTCCCCGTCGTGGGCTGGGAGATGAGGTGCGCTGCCCTGGCTGTCCGACCCCCAGCGCTGCTTACTCTGAACAATGGGGAAACCAGCTGGGTCTGCCAGTGACTTCAGCCACCCCAGGGGCACCAGCCGGCCTGGCTTCAGCAGCATCGTGGGGCCTGTGCCAGGGCTGGTCCCAAGCTGGCCCCACTCGGCGGGGCACCCGTGGGGGCCAGCTGAGGTCACTCAATCAGGGTGATCTGCAAACAGGCAGAGGCAGACAAACCCCCGGGCAACTGGTGGATATTCCAATACTGAGATTTACCCAGCCAGCCCAAAACAGCTTTTACCAGCCAGCTCTTCAGCCTCCTGATGTCAGACATCAAACAATGCAGTGCCTTAAAGTACCAGCCTCCGGCCTCCATCCAGAACACCGCACACGTCAAACATAGGATGATAAACTCTGAAAATCTTATTTACGACTCATATAAAAAGAAAGGTTCCCCTGACCCAAAGGACCAAGCCCCAGACCCAGGTTAAAAGATAACTGAGATCTTACCCCAGATACACACTTACAGTCAATCATATTAACTAAACTAAAGTTTATTAAAAAGAGAAAGAGAGAGTGTGTTGGTTAAAAGATCAATATACAGACAGACTTGGATTCAATTCTTCAGGTCTAGATACAGAGCAGAACTGAGCTTGTGTTGCCAAAGGGATCCTTTTAGAAATAGTCCAGAGGTTATAGTCCAAAGGGATTCATGACAGGGTGACTCCAGTCAGTGACTGGGGGTCTCGGTCCTATGGCTTAAAGGTTTCCCCTCTTGAAACCCAGAGCAGATCTGAGATGAAGAAGGATCGTGTCCCAAGGTTTGTACATTTTCCTGCAGCCTTTTGGCCTGAGAAAACAATAGGGTTTAACTTTCCTTCTTCCAAACATCCTGGCCGTTAGCATAGGTAACTTATCCATTAACATTTCAGACACTGGTTACCACAACCTTCAAAGAGACATAAACAATTCTATTTCACTCCAGTGATCTTCATAAATGTTAATATTCCTCTTTGAATTAAGAGCTACAACACATAGACAAGACTTGTTTGTGGACATCACAAGCCCTGAGCACACAGCTCCCTTCTCTCTCACAATGCCGGGTGCATTGCACAGCTCTCTCCATTTCCATCTCTTCCTAACCAGTTCCTAAAGTCCGGCCCTGGGTCAGGTCAGTCTGGGGAGGTAATTAACTCTTTCTGGCCCTGTCACCTTTCAATGAGATATTATGTTACACTCCAGAACGTCCGCACCCCCCGGCAAGGCCCCCTCTGCAGGAATCCCCTGGCTGGAGTCCTGAGTGTGGGCTCCCAGGGTCGTCCCCCCCCGCCAGGGCCCCCACAAGAGGCCACTCCTCCTCCCCACTCCTGGTAACCCTGCCCCCAGGTCGGACATCTCTTGGCTTAGTTGTCCCACTTGGTGCCTGCTCTTCGCTAGGTCCCCACCAGCCTAGGCGACAGGTCCACAGAGCCATCACTGCAGAGCAACCCCGGCCAGCCTGTGTGTGCCGGCCTGGGGACCTGGAGGGCCAGGGATCACCCCCAACTAACCCAGGCCAGACCTCCGCTGACTCGGCCACACACTGGGGGCCTTGGGCACCTGCAGGGTGCTGAAGCAGGCTTTTGGCGGGACCCAACTGAGAGTGTCAATTCCAGGATAAATTGCTCAGAGCCGGGCAGTCACAGCCCAAGGCTGGGGTCCCTTCACTACTAAGGCACCAAACCAGCCAAACAGAGAAGAACTTTGGTGCCACCCACCCGCTAACCAGAAGTTGTAATTTTTCATCCTCCTGCGTGACCACAGCGCCCCAGTCCCGTGTCGGGAGCGTCGGTGGTCACCCTGAGGGCTTGTCAAGTCTGGGTTGCCAGAACAGGGCCACTGACCAGACCCTCCTTCAGCGCCTGGAAAGCCTCCCTGGAACTGCTCCAGTTCAGACCACCTTGTCTGGCTTCCCGTTCTTGCATAGCTCCAGTGATGGGGGGTGGCGATGGTGCTAAAGTGGGGGCACAAATCTTAAGATGGTACCCTGTGTCACGGAGTCCCAGGGTGATACTCTGAAACTGCTCCCTACTGAAGCCAGTCAGGACTCTGGGGAAGTCTCTCCTCTCTTGGGAGCAGCTGTCTGCAGGGCAAAAAGCTTACATAGCTTCCACCTTCCTGGGTCTGACCTCGGAGCATTCAGCCTCCTTGCCCCTCCGTGCGCTTCCCACAGCCAGTCCCACCCAGGCGGGGTCCTGGGGAAGCCAGAGGGTCCTGCCCCCCAACTCCGCAGTCAGGGGACTCTCAGCCAACCAGTAAAACAGAAGGTTTATTAGACGACATGAACACGGTCTAAAACAGAGCTTGTAGGTACAGAGAACAGGACCCCTCAGCTGGGTCCATTTTGGGGGCAGTGAGCCTGACAACCACGTCTGCCCTTCACTACTCGTCCCCAGCCAGCCCCAAACTGAAACTCTCTCCAGCCCCTCCTCCTCTGGGCTTTGTCCTTTCCCAGGCCAGGGAGGTCACCTGATCCCCTTTGTTCTCCAACCCTTTTGCTCTCACCTTGCAGGGGGAAGGGCCCAGGCCACCAGTGGCCAGGAAGCAGGGTGTTGGCCATTGTCTGTGTCCAGACCTCTGCACCCCCCTTCTGCCCTCTAGGGCTCTGCAATGATCATACACCCTTACCCCACCACCTAGATGTCAAGAACTGCAGAGGGGAAACTGAGGCACCCCCACAATCTTCAGAGGAAACATTAAGAACAGTCAGCTTTGTCACACCCCGCTTTTTTTGGTGTGGAGAGCAGGCCAGTCTCGGATCACCTCCACCTAGCTGGTTCAGGCTTTAGGCAGCCGCTCCCACCCGATGGCCCAGGTAAGATACTCCAGCCATCCCCACCTTTCACTTCTCCGCTTTTACAGTCAAGGCCCCTGGGAGTTGGTCCAGCACTTGTCTAACCTGGGACACGTGGTCCTCCCAGGTCTGGCTAAAGACACAGATCTCATCAATGTCGCCACAGCAAAACTCTCCATCCCCCTCAGGAGCTGGTCCACTAGGCGCTGGAAGGTGGCCGGCGCTCACTTGAGGCTGAAAGGCAGGGTTAGGAACTCATAGAGCCCCAGAGGGGTGATAAAGGCCGATTTCAGCCGGGCATCTGCATCCAGCGGCACTCCTGCAGCCCTTTGTGGAGCCCATGGTGGTAAGGTACCGAGCTCCTCCCAGCTTGTCTAGGAGTTCATCAGGCCTGGGCATGGGGTAGGCATCAGATACAGTGATGGCATTGAGCTTCCGATAGTCCACAAGAGACCGGATCGACCCGTCCTTTTTGGGGACCAGCACCACGGTGAGGCCCAAGGAGCTGGCCGATGGCTGGATCACCCCCAAAGCCAGCATGTCCCGGACCTCTCTTTCCAGGTCCTGAGCAGTTTCCCTGTGACTCGGAAGGGGGAGCATCTTATCGGCAGGTGCGACCCCGTCTGCACCCGTGGACAGTCAGATTAGTGCGTCCAGGCTGGGGTTGGAAAGCAGCTGTCGGTATGGATGCAGCACCCCCTGATCTCAGCTTGCTGGGCAGGGGTTAGCCCCATCCGAGAGGGGAATTGTTTCCAGGGGGGAACCAGCTCTGGTCCCAGGAATAGATCTACTAAGGGTCGTCTCCCTGCTCCTCCCACTGTCCACACACGGCCAACACCACATTCCCCCTGGCATAATATGGCTTCATCATATTCACATGGTACACCCGGGGCGGTGGTGCCCGGGTTCAACAGCTCCACCACATAGTTTACCTCATTGGAGCTGCTTGACGACCTTGAAAGGGCCCTCCCAGGCGGCCTGTAGTTTGTTCTTTCTCACGGGGATGAGAACCATCACCGGATCCCGTGGCGTAGGCACGGGGCCCGCGCCGTGCGGTCATGCCAGACCTTCTGCTTCTTCTGGGCTCTGGCCAGATTCTCCTTGGCCAGGCCCATGAGTTCAGCCAGTCTCTCTCGGAAGATCAGGACATACTCCACCACTGACTCTCCATCGGAGTGGCCTTCCCCTCCCACTCGTCTCTCATCAGGTCCAGGGGCCCCTCACCCTCCTGCCATATAACAGTTCAGCAAAAATCCAGTCGACTTCTGGGGCACCTCCCTGTATGCGAACAGCAGGTGAGGTAAGTACTTGTCCCAATCCTGCGGGTGCTGGTTCATAAGGGTTTTCAGCATGTCACGGGTGTGGGGAGTCCAGGCCCTGCACCCCTCTTCCTGGGATCCACTGAGACTCTCAGCCAGCCAGTAAAACAGAAGGTTTATTGGACAACAGGAACACAGTCCAAAACAGAGCTTGTGGGTACAACCCGGACCCCTCAATCACGTCCTTCTGGGGGAGCAGGGAGCTTAGACCCCAGCCCTGGGGTTCCCTGTGTTCCTCTCCCCAGCCTCCAAACTGCCAACTAAACCCACCCAGCAGGTTCCCTGCTGCAGCCTCCGTCCACATTCCTGGGCAGAGGTGTCACCTCCCCCCCTCCCCTCCCGCTCAGGTGACAGGCTCTCAGGTCTCCCATCCCCAGGGCACATTCCCAGGTCAACACTCCCCCCTCCCTGCTGAGTCACATCGTCACATCTCTCCCTCCTTTGAGAC